ATACTTTTCTTGAGATGCGAGAAGGCAGGGTCAGGCAGACAGTGCCAATTTCATTCCTTTGTGTGTGGCTACACAGAAGGTCTGTGCCAATAAGTTGTGCCACTCATGAACCTTGTCCATGCTGCTGCTCTGTGAAGCTTTGGTAGAGACTGTGAGACTAAATCTGTATTATTTGGGGGATAAAATAGCAATGCTCTTTCTTTTATATTCCCAAAATATAAGTTTTAGATGAAAACTAGTGTGTATTGGAGACAGAAAGATAGAAAAAATGAAAGACATGGGGGCAGAAAAGAAAGATGGCATCTTGAGGCTCAGTGGTGACTTGGTGCCGCTACACAGTCTTGTGTGCCCTGAAATTATAAAGCAGTTTCAAATAGGGAGAGGAATAACATGGTTTTAGGTAACAGTGGAACTGGTTCTACCCTTGTGGGTAGAATGGAGAATTCCACTCTTACGCATTGCTTATTAAATGCTTCAGAATAGAGATGTTCTAAGCTTTGACAACTGTTGTAACTTCCCTTGATGTCACATGCGAAGTTAATATCTTGTGGCATTTTTAGTTTGGTTTAAATTGTACCTGAGCTAAGGAGTTTGTCATGTTTGTGGTTTGCTTCACAGTATTATGAAGTCATCAAAATGTATGGAACCAACTCTTTGTGAGTATTAATCACAGAATGTTTGGATTGGTTATGAAAACTACAATTGCATAAAGATACAAGTCTCTGTGGAAAAATACTTTGAAAAGAACTACTGAAGTATTCCATCAAGCTTATACTTCAACACACTGGTAAAACTCATGAGTACAGTTACAGTGAGTGACACTCGTGAAGTTCCTCACTTATTTTTGTAGAGGGGATTTTTTTTAGAGTTGGGATTTTTTTCCTCTCCTAGTCTGTAGATTTTCCCAACGTACAGTGGAAACAAAGGGCTTCTCATGACTCTTTTAACTGTACTTCATGGGAATTATTTTTCCAGAGATTGTGCTGAATTCATCTGCTCATAGAAATCCTGTAAAGAATACTCCATGTCACAGACAGCAAAACAATGTGAGTTCAGGCAGCAGTGAGTCTTACATCTGGGCAGAATCACAGCTGACCTCTCTATCTCTGGTCAGGGGCATCTTGCAGTGATTCTTTGAAGTAGAACATAGCTTGCAGGTAGAGCATGTTGTTGGTTTTGTCCTTCACTGTGTGTGGACACCTTATCGTTGCATGTGGTTGTTCCATTAATAAATGTGGAAGTTTAGCAGCAACCTTTTACTGGAAAGAACTGGATCAGATTCTTACAGAATTCATTTGCGAAATTGGTTCTGTATTTGGGACTCAAACTCAGGTAAATTAAAACCTAGTGCCCCATCTGGGACAGGTAAAGGAAATATCAGTAAAGTCTGCAATGCACTGCCTGCTTATCTGAAGATTTCTAAAAGTTGACTTCCATACAATCTGTTTTTGCAAACTTCAGTGGCCTTCTAGTACCTGAAGGGAGCCTATGAGAAAGATGGACAAGAGCACGTAGTGACAAGACAAGGGAAAATGGCTTTAAACTGAAAGAGAGTAGTTTTAGATTAAGTATGAGGAAAAAAGTCTTTACTGTGAGGGTGGTGAGGCACTGGAACAGGTTTTCAAGAGAAGTTGTGGATGCCCCATCCCTGGAAGTGTTCAAGGCCAGGTTGGGTGGGGCTCTGAGCAACGTGGTCTAGCGGAGGGTGTCCCTGACTAGGGACAGGGGATTGGAACTAGATGACCTTTGAAGTTCCTTCCAACTCAAATCACTGCAGTACTAATTGCCCTAATGTGCTATGCAGTCCTAAGCAATCAGCATTAGTACGTTAATTAATGTAATGACATGTCTGTGTTATGGAATAGGTTATATGGGCTAATGATGCCTAAACTCTGTAGCATTAAACCTGCATTATATGGGAAAACTGTGGTTTAAACAGGTTTTAAAATGGCTTTTGGTGGTGTCTTTGCAAAGACATGCTTCTTCTTCCCAGCACCCCCTTTGTTATCCATGCAGGAATGTCCTGGGAAGGTGTCCTGAGGTGTGTCCCATTGGCCTTTGTTAACCTCTTCCTGTGATTGGGTGTTCCTGCAAACCCCTTGAGACTTCTAATTGGTTACTCTGTGAATCCTCCTAAACCCTATAAATGTAACATCCCCCACAATAAAGTCTCTCTTGCCTCCTCTCCACACCCGGTGTCCTGTGACCTGTCTCCCTGCCGGCCATGGGGCCACGTGCGGGGGGGGAGGGGGAAGCACCTCTCCCCTCCAGGCTCAGGGCCTGAAAAAGCCCTGGGATACCCCTGGAGTTTCCCTTTCCCCATCCCTCAAGGCGTCGCAATGGTTCTTCAGATGGAGAAGGAACTAGAACTGGGCCAGCCCCACGCCGTGGATGGGGAAAGAAATCCAGAAAACTCTGTTTTTTGATTTTTTTGAGTTGTATATAGAGAACAGGAAGTGAAAGCAATTTATGCAATTATGTAGATCGTCTAAGAGATCTGACCTGACAGACCATGGATTTCAGGGGAGTGCTGTTATATGCCTCAAATGTACTCCTAGGCAGGCTGTTGACTCCAACAATCCAAAGAACCCATAGACCATCCCGAAATACATCACCCACAGGGTTTCCCTGATGTTGAGAGTTTTTGTTGGGTCACTGTTTTTATTTTTTTTAATTATAGGTTATACCCTGGCAGTGAACTAGGGGTACAATCTAACCTTGCAATAGGCAATTACAAAACTCTGCCTTGCTTTCTAAAATCATGTCAACAATGTGCTCATCACATGCTCCCAAGATTACCATGAAGTGGACCTGATGGGGAAATTTTTGATGCACTGGTAATGTTTTGGTTTCAAGTGAAAAAAATCCGCTTAGTTCCATATCTATCTATCTGTCTATCTATCTATCTATCTATCTATCTACCTATCTATCTACCTAATCTATAAGAATTTCTGGTAAATATTCTTATTGAACAAGACTGTTTCTTTCCAAGGTTGAGGATGAAAACCTGTAATGCATTTCTGAGTACAGGTAACAATTCAGTCTTTGAAGGTTTTATTGCACTCCGATGACCAGGATATTGCAAGAAACAGATTCAAAAACAGCAGGCTCAAGACAGGGCAGTTTGGCAGAGCAGCTCTGTAGGTAGCTGAAAGAACTCCAGGAAACAGACTCAATTTGTGCTAAGTTTTAGCTGAGTTAGGCATGACTAATAGGATTTTTTAAAAAAGCATTTTTAGAGTCTGTTGAAACCATCTATTTCCCTTGAAGGAAATCAAACATTAGCAAGTTTTTCACTAATTCTAAACTAAAGCTCATGGTGTCACATTTAGCCTGTGTGGTGTGAACCTGCCTGCTATTCACTTTGGAAACCTTTCTAGGATTTAATAATCATCAATGAATTGAACTACTTAGGTCATTAAGCATTCATCTGTTCTGCCATCTCAATGTAAAACTAGGTGCCTGCTTTTCATGTCAGCTGGGGTGAGAATGTTGGAAAGCAGGATAGAGAATTAATTGGAAAATTAGCAGAGATTGAATTTCACCTGTGTGAGCTGTAAGTGACTTGGATAGGAAGGTTGGAAGTGTGTACTGAGGGATGCAGCAACATGGAAAGTGGGTATGGGCTACAAATGCATGGGGGCAGAAGGATGTTTTGGAATGTGGTGCCTCGAGATGGAGAACAGGTGGAATTCATGCCATGGTGGTACATGGCATTATTAAGTCTTTTTTTTCTTTTTTTTTTTTTCTCCCCAGCAGCTTTGCATTTTGGTGCTAGGCATAATGCAGAGGATGACTTCCACTGAGTCCAAGTGTGATTTAGCAGATTATTGATTAAGGATATGAATGTATTGGTTTACTTGATTTAGACTTCTCAGTAGGGTCCGTACAGATAGGACAAGGAGAAATGGTTTTAAATGGAAACAGGGTAGATTCAGAGCAGATTCAGAGCAGATAAGGGAGAGATTCTTCACTGTGCGGGTGGTGAGGCACTGGAATAAGTTGCCCAAAGAAGCTGGAGGTGTCCCATCCCTGTCCGGGAGGGGTGGAGAGAAGCACCGAGCCAGGCAGGTGAGGTGCTTCCAAAGGGTGTGGGCCCAGTATCTCTGATACCCCGAGGAGGGCAAGGGCTTGGCCCAGAGCTGCCCACAGAGCACAGCTGGCAGACAGGAGGTGTCTGGGGCACAGAGGGCCATCACAGCACAGCTGAGGTCCTTTCCCTGGGGAGGAAGGACACCAGAGCTGAGGTCTGCTCTGGGGAAAGCTGGTGGGGCCCCACTGGGACAGAGTGGGGAAGGACTGGCTGGGGGGCTGGGTGGGAGGTAACGAGCCAGGAGCAGTGCTGGGGCTGGGTGCAAGCAGCTCAGCTGTGAGAGCCTTTGGCTTCCCTCAGCCCCAAAGGACCCCAAGGTTTGGTATTTGAGGTTTGCTTGTGTTTGACAGATGCCATGACTCAAGGTCTCAGTATTTCCACCTCCCTCCCCTACATTTTCCTCTTTAATTATTTTTTGTAAATTCATTCTGACACAGTTTTAGAAAACAAAGTGCATCTCAGGTTCCGGTGTGTCAAAATTGGACCATAAGAATGGAAAAATGCAAGAGCACTGACAGCCACACTGCAAAATGCAATCCCTCTTTCCGCTGGGGAAAGGGGGAAGTTGCATACAGGAGCAGTGTCAGTGGTGTAAAACAGCAACACTCTTCTCACAAATGATTAACATAGGAGGAATTTATCTTGAGTACAATGAAGCAGCAATGTCTGCTAGGAGTTTTCAACAAATACTGGAGCCTTACTAAACTTTTTTTCCTATCTGCTTCCTGGCCTTGATGTGCCAGTCTCCTCCATCCCATGGTGGCTTTGAGCACCCTTCTGTCTGTCCAGGCTTCTGGAATGAATCTGTACCTTTGTGCCCGCCTGTCTGACTTCAGGCTCATTTTGCATGTGCTGAGCATGGACGTCCTTGCTTTTCCCAAGAGACAGAATTGGACTGAAAACATGATTAACTGTGAACATAGGCAACTTTATTTCAACAACTAAGTCAACTTCAATGTTTGCCTGCATGCAGAAGAGGAGTGTAGGAAGGACAGAGTAGGCTTTTGGCACTGAGGTGGCCTTTGGATCAGCAGGCATTGCACCATCAGGAAACGGTCATGGTGTACTGCAGCTCACACTGGATCCTGTCTGTCCTGCTGCTCAAGTTGGGTTTTCCCCAAAGATCTCCTCGAAGAGATCCTTCGCCTGAGTAAAGAATTTCACCAGCTCATCGTCTGGATATGGGCAGGAGCTAACTTGGTCCGATGATGTTGGCTTTGGCTTTGGCAGTGGCTTTGGCTTCTCTGAGGCAGGTGGGTTTGTCCATGGTGGCTGTGCAGCAGTTGGTCTTGTCCATGGTAGCTGTGTGGTGGGTGGTCTCGTCCATGGTGGCTGTGCAGCGGTTGGTTTTGTCCATGGTGGTTGTGCAGCGGTTGGTCTTGTCCATGGTGGCTGTGCAGCGGTTGGTTTTGTCCATGGTGGCTGTGCAGCGGTTGGTCTTGTCCATGGTGGCTGTGCAGCGGTTGGTTTTGTCCATGGTGGCTGTGTGGCAGGTGGTCTCGTCCATGGTGGCTTTGTGGTGGGTGGTCTTGTCCATGGCGGCTGTGCAGCGGTTGGTCTCGTCCATGGTGGTTGTGTGACAGGTGGTCTTGTCCATGGTGGCTGTGCGGCAGTTGGTCTCATCCATGGATACTGAGTGGGTTGTGGGGCAGCTGGAAAAGGACCCCAAACCTGTGCTGCTAGAGAAGTCCTTCTATATGGGCTTGCAGCCATCTCAGCCAACATCCAATTGTAGAAGTACTGAGTGGAGGTGTAGATTCCAGGCTGCTTTGGTCTTGCACAGCCTCTTCCCCAGCTGGTCACTCCAACAACCCAGTAGTAGTCAGCGATGTTGTCTTTGCACATGAGAGGACCACCGCTGTCCCCCTGCAGTGGAGTAGAGAGGATTAAGGTCATGTTGGGATGTCCCAGTCAGCAATGGGGCTGTCTCCTTCTCTCCCACAGCTGAGCTGTATTCCCAGCAGAGCAAGGTGCCAGGGACGTATTCACAGCACACCAAGTGACTGTGAGTGGGTTGGGGTCCTGCAAGGTAGGGCTCTCTCTCATGTCTGCACGGTGATTCTGTATGTGCAAAGGATGGATGTTCCAGGGTTGGCATCTGGATCCAAGGCCTACCTGGATGGACTTTCTGGGCAGAGTGACAGACCAATGGGGGCACTGAGCAAGGACACATGGATGGAGAATGGGAGGGCAGCCTCAGCAGCGCTGTGGACGTGGGGCTGGGAGAATGACCGACTGGCCGGTCAAGGCCCACCCGGGGCTGTGTTTGGGCAGTGTTGACTGGGCTGCCTGTGCTGCTGGGGGCCGAGTGCCTCAACAAACACTCCTTCCTACCTGGCAGGTGTCAATGATGCCCTGTGGATAACCAGCACACACGTTGGAGCTGTGGATTTTCCCCGCATACCACTGGCTGCTGTTGCAGAGCTCGAGATCGATGAGGTGGACCTGGGCCTCCTGCAGGAGATCGCTTGTTCTTGAAGCTATGAGCACAGAAAGGAATGAGCACTCAGTAGCTCCTTGCCATTTCTCCTGCCCTGCCTGAGGCTGATTCCCATCGCTACAGCTTGGCTTGGCCTCTGGAGAGGCACTGGAGTGCTGTGTCCCTGCTGTGTGACTTTGGGCGTAAGCCAAGCTCATTTGTCCAGAGGCACCGTCCTGCAGCAGGACTCTGGCTTTGGCCTCTGCTGTCAGGAAGCCCAACCTGTCTCCCCAGGGTGCTGAGACTGCCCTCAGAGCACAAGTCCTTCTTGGAAACTCACCCCTTGCAGTGGTGGCACCCCAGCCAGCGACAAAGCAGTAGACCAGGTCTGACACTCTCAGTGTCGGGTCGGGCACACAGGCCAGCTGGATGTAGGGGCTGCACTGGACAGGATGGTCCAGTTCCAGCATGGCAATGTCATTCTTCATGTTGACTTTATTATAGTATTGGTGAAGGCGCAGTTGCTTAATGTAGCGGACTTGTGCCCCAGGGCCTGGTTGAGTCAACTGGGTGGCCCCGATCACCACGTACACCAGGCTGATGTTGCTGGAAGGCAGAAGCAGAGAAAAGGGTGAGAGGGAGCAGAGCCATGCACTGCAGCAGCCCAGCACTTGCCAGCCTTCAGTGCTATGGGGCACTGACTGCCCTAGTATGCCTTAGGCTGTGGGAATGGTGAGCTGGGGCTGCTAGGAAGCAGTGGCATGAGACCAGCCTTCTCCTGAGCCCAGTCTCTCAGCTGGGCTCACAGCAAGCAAAGGGGATGGGATTAAGACATGGTGCTGGTGACAGGGCACCTGCTGGTGTTGTGAGGATCCCCCTGTTCCCTGCTCCTCCTTACGTGACATCGTCAAAGCAGTGAGCTGCCGTGAGGACCCATTGCGGGTGGACGAGGGACCCTCCGCACAAATGCCCCGTGTCTGGTATCCACTGATGCTGGAGGCTGACGAGCCAGGGCCAGGACGCTTCGTAGGCACCTGTGCCACCCACGACACGTGTCATGCCATAGTAGTTGTATTGATAAGCACTGGCGCCGTAGTCATAACCCATGGCTCGGAGCCCGCACACCGGTCTGTAAGCAGAAAGTCATTACTGCCCTGCTCTGTGCTGCTGCTCAGGCTGAAGCTCAGCCGTCTGCCCTCCCCACCAGCAGACCCGCAGAGCCCACGGGGTATGAGTCTGTCCGTGTCAGCATCTGGCTGCTGGCAAGGAACTGAGACTCCCCCATGGCTTTTGGGAAGCCTTGGCATAGCCACAGGGGACAACAGGCCCACTCCTGCGGCCCCTCCTAAGCATTGCCCAAGCTCCCTCCCACAGTGTGGGGCCACTTACCCACAGTTGTCCCAGGTGCCGTGCGCAAGCCCGCATGTGGCCAGCAGGATGAGGAGGCAGAGCCAATTCATGGCTGCCAGAGGCATGTGTCAGCTGCAAGAAGTGAGGGCTCCTTGCACCAGCACAGCCACAGATGCAGTGCCCGCAGCAGCCGCGTTGCCCGTGAAGGCCTCGTCCCCGGGGCTGATGTCACAGCGTGGTGGGTTCTGTGTTCTGGGCACTGGGGCCTCTGGCGTGGGGATGGGGGCAGGAGCAACATAGAATCATAGAACCATAGCATGGTTTGGGCTGGAAGGGACCTTAAGGATCATCTAGTTCCAACCTCTGCTGCCTTGGGCAGGGACACCTAGAGCAGCTTGCTCCGAGCCTGGCTCAAAGGCTGTCCTTGAACACTTCCAGGGATGGGGCATCCACAGCTGCTCTGGGAAACCTCTGTCAGTGCCTCACCACCCTCATAGTCATGAATTTCTTCCTAATATCTAATCCAAGCCTACACTCTTTCACTTGAAAGTCATTCCCCCTTGTCCTATCACTACTTGCCCTTGTAAGAAGTCCCTCTCCAGCATTCTTTAGGCCCCTATTCTTGAGAGATGAGGGTGTGCAGGTCCCAGGGCAGGCAGCAGTGCCTGGCTCCCAGCACTGCCTGCTGACAGCTCCCAGGAAGACACCAGATGTTACATCGCAGCCTCTTTGGGAAGTTCACTGCCACTCTGCTCTCTGCAGCTGTTTACCACCAACTCCACCCCCAAACACATACAACCAGGGAACATGGCTATTGCAGGAAGCATGTGTGTGTTTGGGTGTGGAGGAGCCAATCATGTTACAGACATGGTGGCTGAGCAGTGAAGTGCAAACCCAAAAAGCTGAGTGTGCCCAAGCAGTGTCACCCTTCCTGTACAAAGTGCAGTGAAACAAAGATGCAGCACAGTCCACTCTGGCCAAGACAGCCACAGCAACACCCTCTGACAGACTCCATCCTCCTCATCCTGGACTGGCAGCTGCGAAGAGTACAGTGGCACCTTCACCCCCCTGCAGAGAGAGAGGGGATTGGGCCAAGCCCTGTAGCAATCTTCCCTGTCAGTATCTCAACAACAGACAGGTTGGCTCCCCTGAGCCTAAACATCAAGGAGTAAACACAGAATAATTTTGGTAAAACTCCATAGTTACATGTATGGAAATGTCTTATTCCCTTGTGGTCCAGACACAACTTTAGTTTGTCACACTAGGGTAATGAACATTTAAGAGGAAATATAAAATTAAAAGTAATTTAATTTTAAAATTGTCATATTATATTAACTAAAGTATTCCATTTCAATCTCCACTCCAAGAACTTCACTTTCCGAGGTTTCATGTGTGTCCAGGTAATCACAGCCAAAAATTACAGCAGAGGGGACTGTGTAAGGAAACACATCTGTTTCCTTTTCTGACAGCATAGCCCTTTGTCAAGAGCAAGCAACTGTTTGTGGACTCCAGAAAGCCCCCACACTCTCTCCCCTGATGTGACCAGAGGTTATTCTCTGTGGCATTACTGGTGGCCGAGGGAAAACCACTTCCAGAGCCATACCTGGGCTGGAGTGTCCTGTTATTTTTCCACTGACACTGTGTCAGTTTCTGAGGCTCACTCTTAGTGTAAGATACCTGCTAATGAGAGGCCTTTGGAGAATAAGGCTGAGAAGGATCAGGGTTGTAAGAAACACGGTCTCGTAAGATTAATCATAGTGTGAATGGATTTGGTGTTTAACATTAGAAAGAGAAGGTAGAAGGTAGCTGTGAGAGGACCTTTCAATATGGATGAGAATGCTCCTTAAAAGAAGGAGAAATTACCATTTACACCTCATAATGCAGAAAACAGGAAGCTTACAAATCTTGGCCATCTTATGAAAATACATGGGTACTCTCTAAGGAGAGAACTGAAGAAAAGCACTTCTTCATTTATTGAAATTTAACATTTTAAAATAATTTTCCTGGGGGAATGTGTGTGTAAAGATTTCACCAGTCTATTTTTTTTTTCCAGAGCTAATAAGCAAATATTACAGGGTAATTTCATGCAGATTCTGCATGTGAATTGTTGTAATCTGTCTTTTGGAGGCAATTGGCATAGATCCTCAGAATGTGCCTTTTATGAATTCACTAATAGATTTATAGAATGAACTATAGCTAGAGGGAGTGTAATCATTGGACTATCTCTAGCCTCAGCCCACTAAGTTTTTGTGTTTTCCTGACTCACTGAATAAGAGTGGATATCTTGACATTCAAGGGTCTGCTGAGTATCTGAGCAGTCTCCTCTATATCTCAAGTAGAGTAGTTCTGGTCAATATCTCAATATCTCAGAGTCACAAGTTCATCCCTTCACAAGAATAAAAAGGTATCCTCTGTTAAGGAAAGAATGCAAGAGTAGGAAAATATGCTTCAGCAGAGAGAACTTCAAGCTATGAGACTGGAGCAGTTCAATTATGGCATTCACCATTGCCTGGTGCACTGTTTTGGTCATACAGAATTCTTCAAGTCCTGATGTATCAGTGAGAACACTTGACCTATCAGGAAAAACCAAGAATGGCTTCTAAATTTGCTTCTGTGATTATGTATCTGACTGGGAGGAGCCAATGATAAAAAGCTATTTTGGTTTTTAAAGCCAAGGCTAGTTGCTCCTGAGAGTAGATTCAAGAGTCATTCGCAGGATACCACTGGAATAGCTGCCCAAGGTAAATGTTTACTGTAAGAATTGATATGCACACAAGTAAACCCACATGGCCAAACCATGGCTAAGGTATTAAAGAAAAGTTTATTCCAAAGTCAGACACCCTAAATACACTGCTAAAATCATGCAGTGGGTGAAAGAGTGCAGCAGCAGACCTGTTCTGGTGCTTTTATAACAATACCTTTTGCATATGCATAACTTCAAGGCTGTGTTCTCCCCTGTGCTTTTACGGTCTCCCTCTCTCCCAGCAGGGACCTCAACTGTGTTGAGTAAGTGTTATCTCCTACATCTCAAAAAAAGGCAGAGGATAAGCATCAGTAGGTGTAATAAATGGGATTTTCCCACACTGATCTTTCCCAGGCCTAGCATTACCAACTGCAAAAGTCTCTTGAGCAAAAACAACTCTAAAAACAACTTAATTTCTTTTCTTCTCACCAATCTTCCATTTTCAGCCCTTTCATCCACACATTTATGTTTTGGACATTTAGTTTTTGAAAGAAGCTTCTGACATACCAAAGATGAAAGAGGATCCTGCAGCCAAAAGCAGCCCAAATTGCAGCAATGGCCTTTTTATTTTCAGCAGAGAACACTTTGCCACCCAGTTGAAAACCTCGAGTGTATTTGGATGTCTCTTTTCAACCGTAATTGGGCAGACGTTCATAAAGGAGACAGCTACATAAGAACACTTCCTTTCCTGAATTTTAGAACTGTGCCCAAGAAAGTGCCAAATTCACATGGCTCCAGTCATCTATCTAAACATATTAAAACTTTCTAAATTACATTCTTGGAAGTTCAGGAAAGTTGTGAATACTCAATATTATAACTCTTCACCTATTGCCCATGGAGACTGTTATTCTACACTCATACTTTGACACAAAAGATAAGTGGAGAGCATTCCCAGGTCACTTAAGAAATGTTTCAGCTGCAGACATGTAACTCTGTAGGTTGATGGGCATTTTAATATTTATGGTGTTAAAGCAATCACATGGGTTTTTTTTTTTTTTCCATTTTTTTGGGGGGACATTATAAATAGTATTTAGTGAGTGTTAGCAATACTGAATAATATTTGTAACCCTGGATCATGTGAGCTCTCTTTATGTATGTGCTCTGATATGATTGATTTGAGTAGACTTTTACTATAAAATTAGTTGTGTTTTTTGTTGCAGAGTCTGCTTTCTTTCATGTAATATTTGCTTAAGGTTATTGCAAATATGTTTCTTGGAAACAGTTTTATGCGTATGTTATCTTTCAAATTCTGGAAAATTTTGTGCTACCCAGGTTGCATAAGATGCTATGTTCTTCGGTTATTTTGGGGAGACAACATCAAATCTTAGCTGACTTCCTGATATCTCCACATTTTGGATGTGGATGTTTGAAGAGCAGCTGTGAATGCAACTGTTTCAAAGAATCACCATGGAAATTTAAGAATAAATAAAAATCTGTCTTAATAGATTGTAATGAACAATCTGCTGTTTATTTAGTTTGATGTTGACAAGTTAGCTTAATTTCTTAGCTGGAAGCATCCAAGAAGATGTAAATCATTTTGAATTAGGAGAATTGTTTGGAAGTTACACTTCTAAATATTTCTATAGGTGACTGTGTTTTTTTCCAGTGATTTTCTTCTACAGATGGAGTCATGAAGTGTAGGTATGGTAAAACATTTTAAGATTTCACATGGCTTTTTATTTTGAGAAATGCTAGGTTTGGTGAGTTGTAATAGGGATGATACCAACCTAAATGGAGCAACTGACTACATTGCTGGGGTGATACGTCAGGATCTTCACTGCTCTTAAAGTACATCAGAATTCTCCTCAGCACGGGTTTGTCAGAAAACTTTGACAACAATGCTGGGTCTTCCAGACTTCCAGAAACTTATCTGGGAACCCTCACTTGATATTTGTGGTTTCATCCTCCAAAGGAGCAAACAGAATTTCTGCTAAGAACATACTGGCCTTGACTTTTGGCAGTGCTTTATGTTTGGGACACACCTCAATTAGCTCACCTCTGGAACTTTCTGAGGAAATGGGGTGAGAGAGGAGAAAAAAATGCTAATTGTTTTTCTTCTCATAGGCAAAATATTTTTTTTTCTTTACACACAGAAAAAGAGATGCTGGAAATTTCTATTTTTTAGAAAAATCTTAAGTGGTTGAATTTTTGCTCCATATTGGAACTGGATTGTCTTCAATGTAAAATATTTTCCAATGAGTTCCAACTGTCTGTAAGCATAGAATGGCTGGGAAAAGCTAGGTTACATGTCATATGTATTCATAAGATCGGTTACTGCTGTTTTCTGCTAAACTACATCCTTCAAATGATAAAATACATCAAGAAAAGAAATGATTTACTACACAACTGATCACACTGATTTGCCAGGTATGATCACACTTGTTTTTTGTTGCATGGCAAGATAACACAGATGTGTAACACAGATAACACAGGTCACTGCTAATTCTAATGTGTGTAGCACGATGTTACTCTGCATGATGCACAATGT